AGGGAACAGCATGTGCATAAAGATGCAAAGTGGAGCATCTGCCAAGCCCATTCAGTAAACCAGTTTGGCAAAGGAGTCATACTGAGGAATAGTGGGTGGTAAGGTTGGAAAGCGAAAGTAGGGATTGAATTAAGGAAGGCTTGCTTTGAAGGCCAGGTTAAGGAATTGAGATTCAATGGAAGAATTACTGAAGATTTCTAAGCAGGAATTTTTTAAAAAGAAGGAAAGAAAGGCAGAAGATAACCATTCTTAGATTGATCAGGCAGGAGTGTACTTAATGGACAAGAAGAGAAAACAAGCTATTGCAGCGATTTAGATGAGAGGTAATAAAAATCCTAAACTATGGTGGTGTTAGTGGTAACTGGGAAGAATACAGTTCATGCCGACTGAGTAAAGGGTAATGGAGAGGCAGAGTCAAAGACACTTCTGGGGTTTCAAAATGGAATCACAGTAGAGAATAAAAGCCCATTTGACATAGTTAGCTGGGTAGGGAGTGTCCAAAGAGCTGGACATGGGAGTGGAGATGCCTTCCCTGACTTGACTGGGACAGAGCCTGTTACAGCTGCATGTCCCTCTTCATTGTCCATGGTTTCACTTGCACATTTATGTAATTATTTAATTAATGCTTTCTGTTTATTACACTAAACTCTGTGAGGGCAGGCTTTGTTTTTTACTCTCCATTGTTTCCAGTGCCTAGAACGGAGTCTAGTGCGGTAGGTGCCCAGCAAATGTTTGTTGAATATTGTTATTCATTGTAGGCAGAGGGAAATACCTTGTGCAGAGGCAAAGAACGTGAAATTGTAGTATTCAAGGAGTGTTATGGCCAGAGAGATAGCTGAGGGTCAGTTTAGTGTCTTATTGTGGAGGACTTTGCATGCCAAACTGAAAAGTCAGGACATTTTTCTGTTGTGGTGGATAACTAATGATGGTGACTTTATTTCAGAGAAAAGACACAATTATTTTGGTTTTATTTTTTAAATAAGACAATTCTGGTTCTAGTGTGGAGAAAGGAAGGTGAAGACAGGAAAATCAGTCAATGACAGTTCATATGGGAAATAATGATTTATATTAATATCATATTTTAATTATAATATAATTTAATTATATTCATATTAAGCCATAACTAAGTCATACTATAATTTATTGATATAAATCAATAATTATTAATAATAAATTGTTAATATTATATTATTTCCCATATAGGAAATAAATTATTTCAAGTGAGGAAGCAGCACAAGCAGGATTTTTCAAATGTTCTTTCATGTAATTGTCACAACTCTATTCTAATTTTTTTTTTTTTTTGACACGGAGTCTCACTCTGTTGCCCAGGCTGGAGTACAGTGGCATGATCACAGCTCACTGCAGCCTCAACCCTTTTGGGTTTAGGTGATTCTCCTACCTCAGTCTCGTAAATAGCTGGGACTACAGGTGCACACCATGTCCAGCTAGTTTTTGTACTTGTACAGTGACGGGTTTCGCAACATTGCCCAAGCCGGTCTTGAACTCCTGAGCTCAGGCAGTCTGCCCACCTTGGCATCCTGAAGTGTTGGGATTACAGGAGGGAGCCACTGTGCCTGGCCTCTATTCTCATTTTACAGATGAATAAACCAAAGCAGAGAAAGTCGTCTCTTCTCACCTTTTCTAGGGTCTTTCTTCCTCTTCTTCCCAGGACTTTCCCAAAGTATGGTCCATTGCTGCATTAGATTTACCTGGAGCATTTGTTAAAATATGGATTATTTGACCCTGATCCCAGCAATTCTGATCCAGTAGCCCGGGGAATTCTTACTGACACAGTGACTGTCAGACTTTAGGATCCATAAGAATCACCTGAAGAGCTTGTTTAAAAATGCAAATTCCTGGGCCCTACTCCCAGAGATTGATTCAGTAGGTCTGGGTGGAGCCCAAGAAACTGCAGTTTTAACAGCTCCTTCAGGTGATGCTTTGTGAAACATGGGCCTTGGGTTCTGTACCCTTCCCCCTCTCCCTAGAAGATCCTTGCCTTCTCCAAAAGTGATTTCAAATGTGCTACTCTAGACCTGGTGTCCCAAGTTTCATCTGTCTACCAGACTCTGCCATCTGGACGTTCTATTGGCACCTCACCTTAGTGTGTCCAGAAGTAAGTTCATCATCTCCCCCCTTGCCACTGCACCTACTCCTGTTTCCTTACGATGCTCCTGGTGTCACTAGCCTCCCTGCTATGACCCTGATTCATCTTGTTTAACTGTCAGCTTCATCCATCATAAACAATGACCAATTCTTATTTTCAAATGCTCTATTTCATATATATATATATATACACATATATATATATATATATCCCACTTGTCTATTTCTATTGCTTCCCTGCGACTAAAGGCTTTTATTACCTTTTACCCAGGTTATTGAATAGTTTCCTAACTTGTCGCCCTGCCTCTATTCTTATGCTGTTAGAGTAAATTTCTTCTAAATGGCAGCTCTGAATATGTAATTCCTTGCAGTAGCTCCCTACTCCGCAGATAAGACCAGCTTTGCTGGGCACAGTGGCTCACACCTGTAATCCCAGCACTTTGCAAGGCCGAGGTGGTCTGATCACCTGAGGTCAGAAGTTCAAGACCAGTCTGGCCAACATGGTGAAACCCCATCTCTACTAAAAATACAAAATTAGTCGGGCATGGTGGCACATGCCTATAGTCCCAGCTACCCGGGAGGCTGAGACAAGGGAATCGCCTGAACCTGGGAGGCAGAGGTTGCAGTAAGCCAAAAGTTGCAGTGAGCCAGGATCATGCCACTGTACTCCAGCCTGGGCAACAGAGTGAAACTCCATCTCAAAAACAACAAAAACAAAAACAACAAAACCAGCCTCAGCTTGGTGCTATGCCTTCGATGGATGCCTATTCCAATTGACTGCCTTATTTTCCTAGGGATTGGAAATAATATATGTAAAGTTCCTAGTTTATAGCTGGCCTTCAATAATGGTTATATTGTTGCTACATTTACCCTATCATGGCCAGCACAGTGGCTCACGCAGGTAATTCCAGCACTTTGAGAGGCCAAGGCGGGTGGATCACGAGGTCAGGAGTTCGAGACCAGCCTGCCAACATGGTAAAACCCCATCTCTACTAAAAATACAAAAATTAGCTGGGCGTGGTGGTGTGTACCTATAATCCCAACTACTCAGGAGGCTGAGGCAGGAGAATCACTTGAACCCGGGAGGCGGAGGTGGCAGTGAGCCGAGATTGTGCCACTGTACTCCAGCAAACAAACATTTACCCTACCATAATCCAGCTAATTAAGTTCACTTGGTATGTTCCCTGCAATTTTGCGTTGCTTATACTTTCCTCATCAAACTTTCAATGAACCTCTCCACATCTCAAACACTATCTTTTCTGAGAAGCCTTTGACAATTCTCCAACTAGATGTAATGTCTCCGTACTTTGAGCCCCAGAGGACATTGGACTTCTTGTTGTACCTACATGATCCCTTTCCCTTTATTAGACTGTGAGTCCTTGGGCATGGGCACAGGGTTCTTGGTCTCCAATTCCTTCCAGCTTTTCCTGGAGTGTCCTGCCCTTGCCAGTCCTCACTAAACATCTATTGAGTAAAACCTCTGATGTTACTGATTATTAGTCTATTTGATGATACAAGCTTAAAAGATGACCCCTGGCTGGGCGCGGTGGCTCATGCCTGTAATCCCAGGACTTTGGGAGGTTGAGGTGGGCAGATTACAAGGTCAGGAGATCAAGACCATCCTGGCTAACAAGGTGAAACCCTGTCTCTACTAAAAATACAAAAATTAGCTGGGCGTGGTGGTGGGTGCCTATAGTCCCAGCTACTTGGGAGGCTGTGGGAGGAGAATGGCCTGACCCCGGGAGGTGGAGCTTGCGGTGAGCCGAGATTGCGCCACTACACTCCAGCCTGGGCAAGAGAGTGAGACTCTGTCAAAAAAAAAAAAAAAAAGGTGACCCCTTTCCAGGCTCATTGCATTTTAAAAAGAAAATTCTTGGGGGAAAACAAAAACAAAAACCTTACAGATTTGAAACACTGGAGCTGAAGTAAATGGCAGTGGAGTTGATATTTTGGGCTAGGGTTTGCTCAGTGTACCTTGAAAGACTAGCCCTAGATGTAGTACCAATGATGATGCCATCTTGTGGCCATGGTAGCCTTCATGAACCAACCGCAGTAAACCAAAGCATCCTTCTGAACACTCACTCGCCTGCCAACCCCCCACCAGGTCCTTTGTCCCTTTCCTTTTGAGGGTGTGAGTACAGAAGGCTTAGCATAGTTTCTTGTTTCCTCTAATAGAGAATTACTGTTGCATGAACAGGTTTCACTACTAAAAAGACCAAAATGACCTTGTAAGCCAGAGAAATCATTGCAACCAAATCAACAGGCACTGTTAATATCCCAGGCAAGAAAATAGTTTTGCAACATACAAAACTACCTTTGTTATATTAATTACAGTAGGATTTCTGCTATATGTGGGTGGGTAAAATATGGGATGAGAGTTACTTATTATAAGCATCTCAACTTAACAAATATGTCATGTTTTTTTAAATCACTTAAAATAATCCCATTTTAGAAAATTGGTTTAAATATTATAAAGAACAACTACATTTGTCATAACTTTAGATTTAGAGACTAGGTTCAAGATGTCATTTTTTTTTTCTTCCTTTTTTTTTGTGACAGAGTTTCACTCTTGTTGTCCAGGCTAGAGTGCAACGGTGTGATCTCAGCCAATTGTAACTTTCGCCTCCCAGGTTCAAGCGATTCTCCTGCCTGCGCCACTACGACTGCTAATTTTGTATTTTTAGTAGAGACGGGGTTTCTCTATGTTGGTCAGGCTGTTCTCGAACTCCCGACCTCAGGTGATCCACCCGCCTTGGCCTCCCATAGTGCTGGGATTATAGGCGTGAGCCACCGCATCCAGCCCAAGATGTCCTTTATAAATAAAAAATAATTTGATCAGTAACCATATACCTTACATTCATTACTCATTGTTAAATATTTTATGAATATTTTAGTTGTGGGATCCAGCGAAGAATAAAAAATTGCAAGAACTTTTCTTGCAAGAGGTACGGATGGGAGAACTTTGGTTATCTAGAGGTAAGAATGTAAATGTTCTTTTGTGAGTTACTTACGACAGTTTATTCTTAAGAAATATTTATTGATTAGTATTTGTATGTCCAATAACTAGCTGGATGTGTTAGCCAACTTCCCTCACTAAAGAAAAACTATCCCAGCATGTTCACTTCATCACACTGTACTCTTGCATTATGTTAGAGTTTAGTGTTCAAGTTGCAGACTTGGAAGTGGGCAAACTGAGTAGCAAAGCCAAATACAAAAATACCTCATTTATGGTTATATAAAATTCTAAGTCAGTGAGTTTTCCAAGTGACTAAATGTTAAGAATAAAAACTTTTTGCCAGGTGTGGTGGCTGATACCGGTAATCCCAACACTTTGGGAGGCCAAGGCAAGAGGATTGCTTAAGGCCAACAGTTTGAGAACAGCCTGGGCAACAAAGCAAGACCCTGTCTCTACAAAAAACTTCAAAAATTAGTTGGGTACCATGGCATGTGCCTGTAGTCCCAGCTACTCAGGAGGCTGAGGTGAGAGGATCACTTGAGCCCAGGAATTTGAGGTTGCAGTGAGCCATCATCTTGCCACTATACTCCAGCCTGGGAGACAGAGACTCTGTCTCAAGAAAACGAACAAAACAACTTTTAAAAATTCTAACTGCTTTATAAAAATGTTCCTGCTTTCTTAGAATATTCTTAATACTTATTTACTTTGTTGGTAAATAAATTCCCTATGAATGTCCATTCTTTTACTGTGTTTAATGGAGTGATGCCTGTCGGGGCTATCTTACACTTAATGGTCATATTTTGAGTTATAATTTATTCCTACCTAATTCCAGATGGATTTGAGAAAACTTCATAATATTGTTAGGCAAAATGATGGTAGATAATATTATTATTGTATAAATACTATAATCATAATGTCCTTATTCTGGTGTTAAACCCTGGAAAGGAAAATTTGTCTTGAGGCTTCTTAATTTAAGAAGTAACTGATGTTGCTGGATAAATCAGCATTACAAACCCATCAGTACAATGTATATATATTTTTTAAGTGTTGCAAACTCCCTTGCATATCATAGTGCCTGTACCTGTTTTTGCCTCTGTTTTTTTTTTTTCCAAAAGGTTTTGTTTTTCAATCTGTAAGCAGCCTCCTCCAGGATTTATAAAAACAAAGAGGAAGTCAAAATCCTAGGCAACTCACAGCAATAGCCAAGATTTTTATTCAGTGTCTTAAAACCATTATAAAGGTTTTGAGAAATGAAAAAGTTGCAGGCATTCAAAATCATTGCACATTAATCACTATAATTTGTATTTTAGTATTTTATTTAGTATTGATCTTTGCTTTCAGATGGAGTAATTTTTTAAAATAGATTAAAAATACCTGCTAAATATTAATGATTTTTGCTTTTAGATGGAGTAATTTTTGAAATGGACTAAAAATACCTGCTAAATATTGATGACAAAATGTACAGTTAGAACTGACTTAAATGATATAAACAGAAGTGACTTTACATAAACCAGTGAAGCTTATGTCTAAAGACCTTTATATGCATAGGCCTCTAAGGCCCCCTAGCAATTTTTTTTTTTTCTTTTGAGATGGAGTTTCACTCTTGTTGCCCAAGCTGGAGTGCAATTGCGCAATCTCAGCCCTTTGCAACCTCTGCCTTTCAGGTTCAAGCGATGCTCCTGCCTCAGCCTCCCAAGTAGCTGGGATTACAGGAATGCACCACCACACCCAGCTAATTTTGTATTCTTAGTAGACACAGGGTTTCACCATGTGGGTCAGGCTGGTCTCAAACTCCTGACCTCAAGTTATCTAACTGCCTTGGCCTCCCAAAGTGCTGGGATTACAAGCATGAGCCACCGTGCCCAGCCACCCCTAGTAATTTTGTACTCATAATTTTATATTCTTTTTTGTAAACAAGGGCCCTCAAATTGTGGGAAAGTAAGTTCTGAATTACAAGTCAAAAGAAAAAAGATAACATATTTTATCACATTTTATTCCTATTCACTTTATGCTTAAGAGCTATGATGTAATGTTCAATTAGATTTAGAAGTGATCTGAACACATGTTGCAAACTTGGGTTTTTAAATTTTTAACTGCTATTTAATAGCTTTTTTATTTTGGGGGGACAGTGTCTCACTCTGTCACCCAAGCTGGAGTGCAGTGGTGTGATCTTGGCTCAGCCTTCTGGGTTCAAGCAATTCTCATGTCTCAGCCTCCCAAGTAGCTGGGATTATATAAGTGTGTGCCACCATGCCTGGCTAATTTTTCCATTTTTAGTAGAGACTGGGTTTTGCCATGTTGGCCAGGCCGGTCTCGAACTGGCGTCAAGTGATCCGCCCTCATCAGCCTCCCAAAGTGTTGGGATTACAGGCGTGAGCCGTCGCGCCCAGCCCCCTAATAGCTCTTTACAGAAGTTTTATACTTCCAAATTTTACATACACTGCAGTTCTCGGTCTTGGCTGCTTATTCTTTAATTCTTCATCAAACCCCAAACCAATTAAATCAGAATCTATGGGGCTGGAACCCAGATGTCAATATTTTTTTAAAAATCTCCCTAGGTTTCTAAAACATTGAGAACCAACCAGTACAGTATTCTATCCAATGTGGCAATTTTTCACCCAGTTTTCTGCAGTCTTCTTAACTTTCTCCACTCTCATTTGCCATCACCCACAATATTCATCATTTTGCTGTCAGGTAAAATATAGTTCTGTAGCCATCTCAATGGTGGCTATGTCTGTATGAGACCATAGAGCCAATAATTTTGATTGAAATTTCTGAGGAGCTGGTATGATTTAATTTATTGGTTGGTTAAATTATTTGACCAAATTGATTGTTTTGTATTGTTAGCACCACCAATCTTGAGAACAGGCACTATTATATCTTATGTTGAAAATGTAAAATTAATGTATTTAAGTCAGGACATACCCCTGTTGTTTTTTAGTTTAAGCTTAATATGAATCTTTGGAAAGCATTTTTTTCTGTCATGCACTCTTCTCTTCATATGACCATGTATTTCAACCGATAAATGGAAAACTAGTTTCAGCTAATAAAAATCTATTATACTTACTTGTAGGGCCATATTTTATTTTCTACCTAGTTATATTAAGTATGTCAAGATTTCAACTCCTGTGATTACCGAATACCTGAAGAGAGGCAGTACTCTAGTCTCAAGGGTCAAAAAATTAGATTATATTCCTAATGCTGACATTAATCAGCATTGAAACTATACATCATTTCACTGATCTTTGCCTCAGTTTCCTTAAAGTAAAACAAGGGAGACTAAAGTCATTCCATGTTCTAACTTAAACAGAAATGCTATGATTTTCACTCTTCACATATTTTCATTCTTTATTACTTCAAAGCCAGTTATCCTAAAACTCATTTTAAAACTGTGCTTAAAAATCAGAGTTCATAAATCTCTTATTTTTTTCCTTGGGGTATGTAATTCATGTTACGCTAAATCTTGTTTCAACTCTTTGATAGTGAAATCTTTTTTTTTTTAAGTTCTATTTAGCTGGAACATGTTTAATCTATCCTATCAATCACACATGTAAAGATAACCTTCAGATATTAATAAAAGCAGACAACTGCTTACAAAAAACCTCAGTATCCTCTTCCCTCCATACCCAAATTATAGAACACGAGCATTTCCAATGCAAAAGTGCACTTCTAAACAGTAAGAGTATACTTGCTGTAATTTGGCTCAAAATTATTAATATTGCAGCTTCACCACTAAGGAACTCAACGTCTTCCCTCATATTTGTACTGTACTCTTCACAAGACTTGTCTAAGTAGTCTTTAGTTTGATATGCTTTTAATTTTTAATGCTTGTTGCTTTCTTGGATTTGTAGAATGTCTGTTTTAAAGAACTTTAAAATTTTGCTCAAAACTTGTCATTCTGTTTCAGGAGAGCATAGAATGGGGGTTCAACACCTCAGCAATGCCCTTTTAGTGTGTGGGCAACCACAGGAACTTCTGAAGGTTTTCAAACACACACTCCCTCCCAAGGTATTTGAGATGCTGTTGCACAAAATTCCCCTTATTTGCCAGGTGAGCACATATTTAATTATCTTTGTGAAATGTACACAGTAAATAGCTATGTTATGCTTGACTACACAGAAATATCAAAGTATGTGTGTGAATTGCCCAGAATCTTAAATAAGTGAAATCTCTGACTTTTTGGCTGCTTTAACATGAAGCAAGCCTATTCTTTCAGGTTCCTTTGATTATAATAAATTGTATATTTTCTTGAGTATTATCTGTATTTCAACACTTCAGTTTTAAAGCAGAACAATACTTCTACTTCCATTAACATACAAAACATAAAAATCGCTTTGGTAAATTTAAACATACAGGCTAATTAGCATTCTCTTAAATATACGTTTAAAATGGTATCGAATGAAATCCATTCATAAGCCAGTTGATTAGTAAGTTTTAGTCCACTTGCATTTTACTAAACTACTTGGTATACATATGCATCAACTAGAATTTCCTGCAAATGCTTGGATTCATTTCAGGATTCATTAGCCATAAGACATTACTTTGGTTCACTTTTTATCATTGGCAAGCCTTGGAATCTATCATATTTAACTGTCAGCTTTTGAAAAAAACACAAACATGAACTCCATTACAGTGTAACATTCAACTCTTAAACATTCCCAAACTAGGGCAGATGGGATGGTTTCCTGAAGATATATGAAAATGTAGGTAAGATAAGAATATGTGGCCGGGCACAGTGGCTCATGCCTGTAATCCTAGCACTTTGGGAGGCTGAGGTGGGCAGATCACTGGAGGTCAGGAGTTTGACACCAGCCTGACCAACATGGTGAAACCCCATCTCTACTAAAAATACAAAAATTAGCCAGGCATGGTGGCACACACCTGTAATCCCAGTTACTTGGGAGGCTGAGGCAGGAGAATTGCTTGAACCTGGGAGGTGGAGGTTGCAGTAAGCCAAGATCGCACCATTGCACTCCATCCTGGGTGACGAAAGCAAAACTCCATCTCAAAAAACAAAAAAAAAAGGAATAATGCCCACCCTGACACAAGGGAGGCAAGAAAAGGACCGTGCATTGAAATGATTAGCAAGTAACTGTTTTATGTATTCACCAGCAATTTGAGGCAGACATGAATGAACAGGAATGCTTGGAGGATGATCCTGATTGAAAAACATTTCAACGTATCCACAGCCCAGTGAGAATACTATGGTACCATACAGTATAAACAACTGCTCAGTGATATTTCCATTTATTTTACTTTTAGTAATAAAAATTTGTCTATCTCATACATGATTGAACACATAAGTTGCTTTAAAATTAACAGTCACAATTGAAGAAACAATGGTTTATTTTTCTAATCAAGTGACCAAGTTGCTGAATCATAAGGCCTCAACAAATGTTGCATCTTATTATTTCATTGAACAATAAGACCTTCTAGTTTGATTATTCCTGGTAAATAGCAATTTTGTTTCTCCAGTGGTTTCCATTTGCCAAAGTCATGACAGATGGTTTAACATTGTGGCTACTGCTTTCAGGGGATTCTATCAGATGAGTCCTCATTTCCAATAAAGCAGCTGTTGGCAATCTTTCATCAAAAGTTCATCCATCAGGACTTCTCTATCGTGGTTGGCCAAGGAGTCCTGCTTTGGCTGCCAGGGCTTCATTCTGCTGAATATGATATTCCTGAAATCTCATGGATATTCTTTGTGTCATTTTTAAATATTTCTGTAAGCAATGTTCTGAACAGGTGGTCTAGGAATGAAAAGGGAAGATCCAAGAGGCAACACAAAAATATGAATTTTTAAAAATGCATGTATTCTAAAAGAACAGTGTGTAGTTTGCTTTTCTATATCTGAGAATTAAATAGTATTAATTGGCAGCAACTGACCATAGCTTTTAATTGATACTTTCATCCACTGACAAGCATTAATATATACCGAATGCCTGCCAGTTTGTAGTCACTAAGAGCAATGGTAAATCTCTGCTTTCAAGAAGCTTCTGGACTAGATTTTCTGCAAGTGTATTAAGTGAAAGCCCACATTCCTATCCTCTTGTTTCGATTGTTAAAATGTAGACCCAGTAGTAAGTTTGTTCCTTTTTAATGAGAAACAACATTCTTAATTCTCACCCTTTTACTTTTTATTTATTTAATTAATTAATTTATTTTTTGAGATGGAGTCTCACTCTGTCACCCAGGCTGGAGTGCAGCGGCGTGATCTCGGCTCACTGCAAGCTCTGCCTCCTGGGTTCAGGCCATTCTCCTGCCTCAGCCTCCCGAGTAGCTGGGACTACAGGTGCCTGCCACCATGCCTGGCTAATTTTTTGTATTTTTAGTAGAGACGGGGTTTCACTGTGTTAGCCAGGATGGTCTTGATCTCCTGACCTCGTGATCCGCCCACCTCGGCCTCCCAAAGTGCTGGGATTACAGGCATGAGCCACTGTGCCTGGCCTATTTATTTTTTTGAGACAGGTTCTCTCTCTGTTGCCCAGGGTGGAGTGCAGTGGCTTACTGCGGCCTCAACCTCCTGGACTTAAGTTATCCTCCTACCTTAGTCCCTGGAGTAGCTGAGACCACAGGCACACACTACCATGCCTGGCTAGTATTTCATTTTATTTTTTAGTAGAGACGAGGACTGGTTTTTTTGTTTTTGTTTTTGTTGACAGGGTCTTGCTCCGTCGCCCAGGCTAGAGTGCAGTGGTGCAATCACAGCTCACTGCAGCCTCTGCCTCCCAGGCTCAGGTGACCCTCTCACCTCAGCTCCTGAGTAGCTGGGACCACAAGCATGTGCCAACATGTCCAGCTAATTTTTTTTTTTTTTTTTTGTATTTTTTGTAAAGACAGCGTTTCACCATGTTGCTGAGGCTGGTTTCGAACTCCTGGGTTCAAGTGATCCACCTGCCTTGGCCTCCCAAAGTGCTGGGAGTTCAAAGTTACAGGGAGCTATGATTATGCCATTGCACTCCAGCCTGGGTGACAGAGCAAGACCCTGTCTTAGAAAAAAAAAGTTAAGACTTCTAATAGGATTAGGTTTTCAATATGAGCCATCAAAGTCAAGCTTTGCTTTTTCCAAAGCCAACCAGAATTCCCAGGGCCATACAGAAAGGCTGTGCCAAGTTTCTCTAGGTAGGCCATCTTGACTGAAAGCTAATTAGTAAGAATCTTTGTTGTGAAACAGTAACTCAGCAGCTGCAGCCATCTTCTCTAAAATGGTCTGACTTGGTACAATGTAACTATCATATTAAATTTGGCACTGTTAAACTCAATGCCGTGGTTCAGTGGCTGCTTCAGTTCTTCTAAGCAATGGAACATAAAAGGTAGTCTAAATTCCTGTAATAAGTAGGAACAAGTGAAATGCTACTTATAGTGTTTATGACAGGCCTGGAGAATTTCAGTGAGTAACACTTTTCATACCTCTTCAGGTTTTACTTCTCTTGTTGTGAAGTCTTTAACACAGTCCAAAAAGCAGGTCTCTGTAAGTTTATTGTAGGTCCCCAGAAATTCCTTAAACTACAAACAAACCAGAATGTTCTTTACTATTTGGTTTTTAAAACAAAGAGGCTTTGAAACTTCAATTACTAGTATTTTATATTTAGACAAAATATACTATAACACTTGAAATCATAGTTATGCTACTTAAATGGGTACAATATGATCTACAGAACAGTTTTATTTTCTAGTTGAATATTTAATTT